CTGAAGTTGTTTACCTATTTTCTGTTGATTTTTATTTCTTTTTCAATATTTTCGAGGGCATTTTGAAAGCTCTTTTCAGAATATATATTAAATAACAGTGGAGAAAGTTAGGTCTAGTCTAGTGGAGAAAGTCTAGTCTGTGGGACTAGAAACCTCAAATTTTTTTAGTAATGACATTTTTAGCATGGTTCCAACTACTATTTACTCTAGAAGATATAAAGTAGAATAATTATTTTTATTTCTAGAGGAATCAGGATTTTACCCGATGGTTGCGGTTACCGAACACTTGCTTGAACTCAACGATCCTTTTTTTATAGACAAATACACCAGAACTGCCAGGTATGAGCTAGTTCAGCTCATGTTGGCAGCCTCATGCTTTTTACAAATAATAATTTTTCTGTCATTATTAATGTTTCCACATTCTACGCTTGCCGGATAGTTTACATTTTGACCAAGTAAGTCTAAAACGTTAATCTCAAAAACTTTTGTTTATCCATTAACTTTGAGTTTTTTATCGAAGTTAACTAATTTCCTTTATCTAAAAAACGTTTTCTTGGCTTATTTCAGATGCACCTGAAGATGCTATTTTAAGCGAAAGTACTTGGGCTAGATTTAATTAACTTGTGCTAGATAATAGCCTTATTTTTCATAGTTCATTTATTTGAGCATTCAATCTCATTTCAATTTTTTAAATTAATCTTTTTTTTCTATTCGAATAGTATCCCAAGTTATCGTTACAAAAATGTCGCCCAGATATGTTTTGATTTTTTTATAATTATTTCCCTAGTTACAACTAGTGGTTATAATAGGTATAATTAGGCACCTCAAAGTGGCGCCCTATATTAAATTACTAGAGGTGTTTCCTGTTTATTTTTATTTTGTTTGTCCCAAGAGATTATGTTATTACCCCTTTTGTCATATTTTTGTAGTTGCCCCAATCCACCCCCCTTTCTTTTACTTATCCATAACCCCAGCTCTCTTAACAAACCCTGAGTGCCGTTTGCACAAGTAGCGATTATTTTGATTGCCTTATCTCCACCCTCTTAGTTTCAGTCCCCAATTTTCGACCCCTTGTATTAATACCTCATGTGGTTTGCAAAATATTTTCGTTACAAACTGGCTGATTGACACCTTGTCTTTGCCAATAAAAAAAAAAACTTTTATTATACTCACTTTTCACATTTCGCAATTAATAAACACTCAAAATAAAAAAGACAAAATATCTTTTAAGTATTTACAAGTTAAGCCATCAGCTGAAAATCCGCAATAAATACAGCTTTTCAACACTCATATATGCGTACAGAACTGGGTCAAACTGTAAAAATAACCGCCAATTTACACCACCACCGTCAGTACTGACGGACAAACTAAGGAAGTTAATGTGCAGGAAGTTTTAAATTTAAGGTTTAACCATCCCTACTCGGAAACGGGAAAATGTGTAAATAAAGTAGTCTGAAGCTGGGTTTTACTCATACAACTTACAATTGAGTTCGTCCTCGAATCTGATGGAACACTGAATATAAACAATTCCAACAACTAAATATTTGAATTAAATGTTTCTTTATTTAATGTGAAATTAGAAGTTTATAACAAATAACTAACACGATGTAATGTTCTGTGGCAACTTATGGACATTTTTGGTAAATGGTATTTTTCAAAACATGCTGGTTTATGGCAGCTGGACATGCTGCTCCTATTAAAGTTATCAAAATATTGTTCTGAAGCTATTTTCTTGTGGCATTTTGAAGTAATTACTATTTAGATGGGAATAAGCCACAATTAAAGGTTAAAGTACATTTATTGCTTTTTCTATCTCCACTTCGGAAATCGTTTTCAAAATACAAACATTAGTAAATTAAACAAATTTTGTTCTTTTGTTACTTAGTGAAAAATTCTTCTAATAATTTAGTTTTATCTGACTCATTTATATTGACAATTCAGACATACATTAAACATTTTAAAGTAGACGACTTTAAAATGATATTGCCAATATTGTTGAGTTGCGCTCCTGGGACGACTTGACTTAAGATAGTTCATTCGATTACATGAAATTAACTTTAACTTGAGAATATCCGTCAGAAAAAATCATAGGATGTAATTCGTCTTTAAAGAGACAAACACATGCCATAATGACAGTAAAATTCTCCTGTTAGTGATTCCATAGTAAATTATGAGGGAAAAACCAGGAAAAAAACCTCATAATACTATCCCGACATTGTAAGTATTTGTTCGTGAATTTAGTTTACCTTCAACAAACATCAAAATTTTGATTTTATATGTTACGTTATTTAAAAAACATAAATGGTGTATCCTCTATATGTTACTGACTTACTAATACTGGTATTTTCTTATTAACAACTTCTTATTCCAACATTTAATGGCCTTGATGATTCACCTAAATAAAACTGATCGCATTCACAAGGTATTTTATAAATGCAATTCTTTGTCCTTTCTTGTTCATTGTTAGGTTTGGTATTGGACAAAATAGATCTCAACGTATTTGTTGTTTTGAATGTTGTTGAAATGTTGAATTTATTTCCTATCCTTTTAAGTTTTTCTGATAATCCTTTTATGTACGGTATTGTTATTTTCCTCGTATTATTCCTTGTGTATGCTGAACGTAACATAAATGAACATCAATCTTATATTAAAAATAGAGAATTTGATAGATCTCAAATATGTAAACACGCATTGGATAATGAACATAGAATTCAATTTAATAATTCAAATGTAGTCCTAAAAGAAACGGATGGTAAAATAAGAAAAATCAAAGAAGCGGCTTTAATTATGCTAAATGAGGCCAATTGTGTCGCAAATTCCTCGGCAGAATGTAGTAGGATCTGGTTACTAATATTGAAAGAGGAAGGTATTAATAAGAAAATACCAGTATTAGTAAGTCAGTAACATATAGAGGATACATCATTTAAGTTTTTTAAATAACGAAACATATAAAATCAGAATTTTGGTGTTTATTGAAGGTAAACTAATTGCACGAACAAATACTTACCATGTCGGGATAGTATTATGTTTTTTTCCTGGGTTTTCCCTCATATTTTACTATGGAATCACTAACAGGAGAATTTTACTGTCATCATGTCATGTGTTTGTCTTTTTAAAGACGAATTACATGCTATCATTTTTTTCTGACGGATATTTTCAAGTTAAAGTTGATTTCATGTAATCGAATGAACTATCTTAAAAGTAAAGTCGTCCCAGGAGCGCAACTCAACAATATTGGCAATATCATTTTAAAGTCGTCTACTTTAAAATGCATAATGTATGTCTGAATTGTCAATATAAATGAGTCAGATAAAACTAAATTATTAGAAGAATTTTTTGAGAACGATTTCCGAAGTGGAAATTAAAACGTCAGTAAAATTTCTGTCGTTTTAAATTGAATATTAATTTAAATTTAATTTAATTTTAAATTGATAATTGAATCATTCCACTGAACCCTATATTCATTATCCCACGCGTGTTTACATATTTTTACATATTTAACAATGATTTCCTCCAAATTTTTTCTTCACGTGTCAATTGGATTGTTATTATTTGACGCTATAAATGCAAGATAATTGAGATTTAATGCCTTTAGCTTTAACTTAATCTGACCTTTCTATCTGTACTCTTTGGGTTGTTTTGATAGTAGAACTATCTGGAGGCGTCAAAACTACAAGGCGCCTTGGAGTGTGATAGCGCACGCTTAGGAATAGGTTAATTAAAATGGTCTTGTCTAATATAAACTAAATTTATATTATATTCCTACTACTAAAAAAAGTATTGTGGTAAAAATTATTTTTTTGCTATGGTCTTTTTTTTAACCAGGAGGAGTAATTCAAATTTTCCGCGCCGTAATGCTTGTTTGCAATTGGTCCAACCGCAGGCAAGTTTACTCCACTAAAGTATGACATATTGACACTAATGACATTTGTGAAATCTATTTATTATTATTATTTTCCTCTAATATATAAATCGATTTCTGACTCTTTCAAAGTTGTTTGTAATAACTTGGACTTTGTGATATGCGAATAGTATTTAATGCGATATTTTTCTAGATGATATTTATACTAAATATAGTTAAAGTGTTTATAAATTTATAAATGTATGTTATCTATATCTAATTATCATAAGAAAAACGGCAACTATCTTTTAAATTTAGTGTATACTTGTTAAGAAGCATTTTCATTTTGTTTTCATCGCAATAAAAGAACATTAGTAAAGTAATGTTGTGTTTTAGTTTGATTATATTAATACAGTTGGTTTTGTTCTTACTGGTTGTAGAGCATCACAAGAAAATTGCAAAATTATGCAAGAATGTAACATAATAGAATGGATTTGTTAATTATCTCACAGAAATCCAGTATTTTTTAGTAAATTTTATTTGTTGATAACAAATGGGACAAACTCACTGTCAAAATTACACGAGAATCCAGCATTAAAGAAATTGTAAGTACACACTTATTTATACAAAGTATCTGGTAAGAAAAAAAACTAGATTCAAGAAATTGATCATACCAGAATAAGAATATGGTCTACTATTAAAAGACAAATTTCTGAGAAAAACCATACTTAGACTTCGACTCTCCCGATCAAAATATTCTCTAAATTATAATTAAATACCATAGACTCAAGAGATCTATAAAACTGGATCACCCGATATTTAAATACCAAATGAGAAAAAAGTGTGAATAAAAATTATTGTAATATAATATATTGGAAGTGAATTGAAAAAAAATATTTTATTATTCAAACATAAATATAAACAAAGTTAGGTTAAAATTAAGGTGTGAGGTTGTCCGATATTGATTACTCGATTACCGCAAGGCCGAGATAATCAACAAAAAAAGAAGATGTATTTGGTGACTTTTCTAACTTTCTTGGGTGTGAATCTGTCTTTTTGGTTTACTCCTCCTGGTTAAAAAACAGAGTATAATTATTAACATGAAAGGGTATAATCTCATTACTATTAAAATACGAAACTAATTTTTATTTTATCTTACCTTTCGCATACATCCCACGAAATTATTGTGAACCCTGGCTCCTGGAAGGGCTCTAGTGTTTATGCTTCCTCCTACGTACACGCGACTCGATGACAACATTGTGAATTTTCCAGCAATATGCGAATGGTCTGCATATACGCCATCAACGACAGCTGATAGCTGTAATAAAAATATTGCTTTTTATATATAGAAACAAGTAATGAAAAATACAATGTTTTATCGTTAGAGTATTACACTAACTTTGTTTTCACACAAAACTTTTCTTAAATAAATGTTTTTCAGGTAGTATAGATCAATATTGACTTATCATATAGGTAATGGAATTGATCTAGACTTGGTAGTTGCGTATTTTATTTTAGAAATTAAACATTGTATACATCGCAAGGATAAAAGTTACAAGCACGCAAAATGATTCAACCAGGTTTCCATTTCAAAAGAGATAGTATAAACGTAATAAACAGAATTACAGGGATAGGGCTCCTGAAAACCCACGAAATCTTCAAGAGCGTCCTTTATATTCTCAAAAAGTCACAGGGTGCCATTTTATCGACTGGCATTATTGGAAATATTTTTTGAAGAGGCTGGCCATACCGTCACTGTTAATTTTATTCGTTACGTTGACATGATCCAAAATCTTTTGGTACCAGAACTACGCAGAAAAGGGATAAACCCAAGAAATATGTTGTTTCAGCAGGATGGTGCCACGGTACATACTGCCCATGCTTCAATGAATATTCTATGCAACCTGTTCCCAGGACAACTCATTTTGCGTTTCGGAGATTTGCGGTAGCCTCCAAGGTCTCCATATCTGTCAATTTGTGATTTTTTTCTATGGGAGTATTTAAAAAGACGTGTATGAGCTAGCAGTACTAGTAATTTAATCGAGTTAAAGAACGCAATTCACCAGGAAATCCTGACTATTAATCGAGCGACGTTAGAGCGTATTATGGAGGATTTGAGATCAATACATCAATTGAGAAAACAGTGATAAATACAACTGTGACTAAAACTCACGTACCATATAACAAAAGAAAAAGAAAGATCGTAGAAATTTTACAAGATTCTGAAAACAGAAAAAAATCTATGAAAATAATTGATCGTAAGTAGGTAGAAAAAAAAAACTGGAAAAATGAGCTATAAATGATATTTTCAAAAACAATATGTAACCTACTGTATGCAAGAGTGATACCCCTAAGAATAATAAAAACGATCGAAAATATCTACCAAAACAACACAATAAAAGTAAAAGCAGAAGAAGAACTAACCGACCCTATTAAAGCTGGAAATGAGATAAGACAGGGAGATTCCCTATGTCCTCTATTTTTCAACCTGATTATGGATGAAATAATAAAAAAAATAAGAACAAAAAAGGATACCAAATGGGATAAAAACAACTTAAATTAATCTGCTAGCAGATGACGCAATACTACTCGCTTAAAGTGAATATGATTTACAATGCATGCTGCATCAATTTAATATAACCGCTAAAAAATTTAACATGTTAATTTCCCAAAAAAAAAAATGCATGGTTACAACAGAAATTTTACTAAGATCAAAATTGGAGCTGGAAGGTCAGATAATAGAACAAGTGATGGAGTTCAAATATCTAGGCATCACATTATCTAGCTACGGAAAGTTCTAAACTGAAGTGGAAGATCAAGTGAATAGATCAAATAGAGATGCAGACTACCTAAATGAAACAATATGGAGAAATAAAAATATCGGGAAAGAAACGAAAGGCAGAATTTACAAAACAGTCATCAGACCAATAATGACATACGCGGCAGAAACAAGACCTGACACAGAGAGGACAAAAAGGATGTTAGAAACAACAGAGATGAAAACACTCAGAAAAATTGATGGGAAGACACTATGAGACAGAGCTAGTAGTACAGATATACGACGTAGATGTAAGATGGAAAACATCAAGAACTGTGTAAGTAATAGAAGAGTAGAATGAAACCATCATAAAAGCCGAATGATAACAAATATAGTTGTAAAGACGACAACAGATGGTGCCCCAATAGGAAGACGATCAGTAGGAAGACCACGAAAACGATGGAATGACAACTTACTGGAGGCACATTCAAAAACAGACAGAGTCAAGTCTATATAAAAAGAAGAAGAAGAAAAATACAAAATCTCATATACTAACTGAGTGAAAGCAACAAAATTTGAAGCCAATTGATGTGTTTAAATTATTTTTAATAAAAAATTATGGACTATCTTTGTGAAGAAACAGTAAATTACGCTTCATAAAAACACATCACTTCACATCTACTTAGTAATATAAGTCGAAACAGATTTAAACAGATTTATAGATTTTTATACTTTGACGATAAGCTGTACCAACAAACCAATAAAGCGCTTAAAGTTCAACTGCTAATTGACCATCTAAATAAAGTTTTCATCATTATCTTACTTTACTTTACTTTATCGTGTCGGGACATGTCATTCATAAAATTTCGGCCCAGTATCGGGCTACGTCGGTTCCATCTTTGTTGGCGAGCCACAAATCTTCAAGGGTACATCGATGAGAACAGTTTCTGCATGTAAGAAGATGTTCCATATTCTGTGTTTCTCCACAGTCACAGTTCACATCATCTTGGTCTATTTTTCCCCATTTTGCCATGTTTGATTTTACTGTAGCAACCCCCGTTCTTATTTATTCAAGGTTTTCTACGTTTTAAAGTCTAGGGTCTGGCCGGTCCATTGAACCTGAGGAAGTGTAAATTCAGCAGTTGAGAAACACAGTGCCTGTGCCGTTGTTCTTAAAACGGCGGACGTGCGCCCCATTTACTTTCCATTAGCTTTCTGAGTATGCTGTTCCTAGTTGTTACTTTTCCTCTTGTTTTTATGCAATGTTGTCTGTAAGTGAGGGACCGGTCCAGAGTTACTCCAAGATATATAGGTTGATTTGTGTGTTCTAATGCATTACCATTCCACACAATTTGGAGTTTTCGCTTGGCTTCCTTTGTGCGAAGGTGGAAAGCGCAGACTTGGGTTTTAGAGGGATTGGGTCTCAGAGAATTCTGCAGGTAGTACGCTGTCATTGTTTTTAAGGCAGTTTCGAGTTTCTTCTTCACTTCTTCAAAACTATTTCCTTTAGCACATATTTCAAGATCGTCAGCATAGAGAAAGTGCTTGGTTTCGGTCGGAGTAGGTTGGCCGTTTGTGTATATATTGAAGAGCATTGGTGCTAAAATACTTCCTTGTAAGAGGCCGTTTTTTTGAACTCTCCACCTACTTACTTTACCCTCCAGCATAACGAAAAAACGTCTATTTTGCAGTAAGGAATATACGACCTTTCCCAGATTACCTCCAGCTAGTGAATGCAAGTTTCTCAGTGGACGAAGCCATGGAGCTGTATTATGGACCCCATCCAATCCAGTTTATTAGAAGAAAACCCATCCGTTACCGGTATAAATTCTGGTGTGTTGCGACCAATAAAGGTTACCTTGCAAAATTTCATCCCTATAATGTAAGTGGAGATAAACTATATACTAACTTGTTAGGAAGTTCCGTAATAGAAAAGCTGTGTAGAGGGTTTTTAAAAAAATAATCTGTTATCTTTATTGATATTTTTTTACATCTTTACATTTACTGACAAGGTTGAAAAATCAAAAGATACACTGTATTGGCACACTTAGAAAAGAGAGAATTAAAATTCGTAGAACTTCCCAAGCTCCACATAGCGAAGAACATCAGCTCACTTTGTTCGCTGGAATGACAATAATGAAGTTGTTGTTATTTGTTTGTGGTTTAATTTATTAAAGGTTTCTTTTACATTGGTGACAGTATTTCCTACAATGTCAATGTCATCCGCGTATGCTAGTAGTAATTTTGGTCCATTTACTGTTAGTAGTTCTGTTCTAATTTGTGCGGTTCTTTCTACTTTTTCCAGGATTATATTAAAAAGAAGAAGTGACAGCGCGTCTCCTTGTTTCAGTCCACTGTTTATTTCAAACGACTCTGAGAGCTTGTTACCTATCCGCACTCTAGATCACAGCCATTTACACAAACTTTAACGAGCTGGATAAGTTTTTTTATGAACTGAAAGTTCTGCCATTGCATTCCACATCTGATCCCTTTTAATGCTGTCGTATGCTTGTCGGAAATCTATAAAGAGATTATGAATGGTTCTATTAAATTCCCGTCCTTTTCCAAGCAGCTGCCTGAGAGTAAAAATCTGATCTATGGTCGATCTATTTTTTCTGAATCCGGCTTGGTATTCCCCTATGAAATTTTCTACAAAAGGTGTTAGTGAGAGCGCCCACCAAAGTGGCGTGGCAGTGGCAAGCAGCAAGTAGCACGCGTCTAGCATAATGTAACTAATCCAAACGAATGATTAGAATGAATGACGTCACTGTCATTTTGGTGTAAACGGAATCATTCGTTTTCATTGGTTACATTATGCTAGACGCGTGCTACTTGCTACTTGCCACTGCACGCCACTTTGGTGGGCGCTCTCACTTAGTTTACTTAATAGGATGTTCGATAAGATTTTGTACGCCGTATTAAGTAGGGAGATGCCTCTATAGTTAGAGCACATGATTTTGTCTCCCTTTTTATGGATAGGAATTATTACACTTTAGTGCCATTTTGTTGGTATTTTCTCTTCGTTCCATATAAGTGTTATTAGTTTGTGTAATTGTCTATGTAAACTAATATTTCAATTCCAGAAATATTTACTGGAGGAAACTGTAACAGATAGTCCAGACAAGGCAGAAATATTCTAGCGGCCCCTCGACCAAACGTTGTGCAAATGTATAACAAAAGAATAGGTGGTGTAGATTAAGTAAACCTAAGAGGTTTATATAGGATTCGATGGTATTGGACGATATTTAGATTTTGCTTGAATGGGACAATAGTCAACATGTGGCTTGTTTACCGCAACATTGAGGCAATTTCTTTATTAGAATTTTACACCCGAATTATGAAGGCTCTAGCGACAGCTCCAGATATTCCAACGCCACGTAGAGTACGTTTAAAATCTTCGAAACATGTTGCTGACGAAATTCGTTTAGATAATGTGGGTCATTTGGTGGACAAAATTGAAAAACAACAAAGGTGCGGTAAATGTAGTAAGTGTACCAAATATAGATGCATTAAATTTAATGTAGGACTTTATAGCAAACAATGTTATAAATCAAATAGTCAAATATTGTGTCTTCATGGCCGAGCGTATGCTATATCATACATAAAAAACAGTTACAAAGAAAACAAACGTAAATTTTGCACAATTTCTATTAAAAACAACCACTCTTTATTTCATTCTATGCCTCTTTGGGCATTAATGGGTTAACTAAAGGGTAACTTATTTAAAGGTACTTACCCTACAAAAAGCAGTTATCGCTGATATCTGAAAAAAAAAATATATTTTTTACAAAATTCATGATTTTTGTTTTAAAGAAATTACAATATAATACTAATTATCTTATTACCACAATAGTTTTATTAAAATTTAATGTTTGCGTTCAATCTAACTTTTTCGCCCTTATTTACTCTTTCGTCTGTCGGCATGGTCTCTCAAAATAACGAATACAATATTTATTTGTTTCATTCTCGTAATAATGCGTTTATCGTCCCACTATTCCACATATTCCTAGAAATAGCGACTAACTTTTCAGTTGATTACAAAGCGCTGCTTGGGGCTGTTTGTTTTATAAGTAGGTATTGTAAGTTGACGGTCTGTTTGAAAAAAAATTACAGACGGCGTAACTATAACAGTCTATATTGGTTAATGGTCTAGTGACATTTTCATGAATATCGGTTTGATTTTATAGGCGATATCAGTTTACAATTAGTATCAAAAAAAGCAGATGATGTTACAGTGTTTAATAGATCAAATGCTACAAGACGAGGAAAGTGATTTAAAATTAAAATCTGATCATAATGATGACAATCTTTACAGGACAATATAAAGGAACATTCAGATTTTAGGGGATAAGCTTGATTCTTTGCCAGAAATTACTCCTCTCCAGAAACTTCTCTGTGGTCGTCCTCTCTTTCTTCTTTCAGGAGGGATCCATTCCAGTATTCTTCTAAGCCATCTGTACTCTGGCATTCTTTTAACATGTCCGAACCAGATTAATTGTTTTCTTTCCATATCATCATTGAAATTTTGCTCCATTTTCATTTCGTTTCTTATTTGTTCGTTTCCAGCTTTCTCCAGTTTCGATCTACCGCAGCTGCGTCTCAGATAATCCATTTCTGTCGTCATAAGTTTGTCTCTATGAGCTTTGGTGACGCCCCATACTTCCGAACCGTAAAGTATAATACTTTGGACTATACTACCGTAAATGTATTTTTTGGTTTCTCGTCGAATTATTTTTTGCCAGAAAAGAGAGTTTAAGGTAAGGGTCGCGGCTCTGCCCTTGTTTATTTTTTCCCTGATTGCATCTGCGCTATTTCCCTTCTTGTTAAAAATGACTCCCAAATATTTGCAGGATTGCACGCCTTTGATTTTGTCGTCTTCCAAGACTAGGTCACATATTTTATTTGTTCCCAATGAGAGATATTCACATTTTGTCTTATTCATGTTTAGACCTACCACCTCATATTCTTCTTGCAGTTTTCTTACCATATAGCTAAGATCGTAGCTATCTTCGACAATTATTATCTGGTCATCCGCAAAGAAAAGTGTATACAGTGGTGAGTGCTTTATCAACCGGCTTTTTAACGTAAGAGATAGAAAACACAGTTACCTTGTGAAATAAAAAGAGATGAAACTCGTAGAGGTGGGAAATAATCGATAGAAACCTATAATTTACATTACATTGCATTAACACTATCGATAGTCTCACACCTTTAGACGTTAGTTCAGCTAAATCACCTGGGTCATAATTATTATTTGTGACGTCGTATGTGTAACGTATTTCAGTGACATTTTTTTAAATTTGCATAAAGTAAAAAATGATTGACCACAATTAAAAGCAAAAATGTGAATACAATAAATTAATTATTAGTGAATATTTAATCTAAAGTTTTAAATTAATAACCAAAAATAATTTCTATGATTTGAGGAGTTTCATACACTCTTGTCACGGAAATAAACATCAGTCCTTTGTGGATTAGTGGTAAGAATTCGACACTGCGACGCAGACGATTAGAGTTCAAAACCCATATGTGGTTTTCTTTTTTTTTTTAATAATTTGAAATTATGCAGAGATCGTTTTGATTTGAATCACTAAACATTTATGTCAGTCGTTACTAGTATTAGAAGTGTTTAAAGTTACACATAAATATCTTTTTGAATTTGAATTATTTTGTATTTCCGTTTTATAACATTGGAATAAGAATAAATTGTAAATAATGAGTTTTTGAAAACTTGTTACCTAATATGTATAATATTTTCTATTATTTTTTGATTGAGTAAAACAAAAATTTTATCCTTGGTGGGAATTGAACCCCAATCTTCTTGTCAATAGACCACGTGTCTAACAATTACACCAACTACACATACAATTAATGTTTTCGGATAGAACATACCTACCTTTAGTTTAGTCAAATATTTCAGTTGATTTATTTTTATTATTGAATAAACTTAAAGATTTATAATTTAAAATCGCTACTAATTAATGTTTTTTACTTTAATTCTAATTTATTCAATCATTTATTCTTACATCAGAAATTATGAAAATAAAATATTTTCGCGGTCATCCGTATAATTGTGACTGAAGTCAAATAGCCACGTCTAAGAACTAGCTTTATCTCATTCTTTCTCACAAAATCCATCTTCTATCCTTTCCGCTATTTTGCCGGGTTTTAAAGCGACTTTAAACACTTCTAATACTATAATAACGTCTAAAGGTGTGAGACTATCGACGGTGGTAATGTAATGTAATGTAAATTATAGGTTTCTATCGATTATTTCCCACCTTTACGAGTTTCATCTCTTTTTATTTCACAAGGTAACTGTGTTTTCTATCTCTTACGTTAAAAAGCCGGGCGATAAAGCACTCACCACTGTATAGCTTGTTTTCTTCCACCGTTATTCCCATGTTTCTAAATTTTTTTATCCATTTCACTAAGGATCTGTCCAAATAGATTTTAAATAAGATGGGTGACATACAGCAGCCTTGTCTTAGTCCCTTTGTTGTTTGAAAAGGAGAGGTGATTTCTTGTATCATTTTAATTCTTGCAAAGTTTTGTAAGTTTTTTTCAAATCTATTAAGGCTATACGAGTTTCTCTATTTCTCTGCACTCGTTTTTCCATTGCAATTTTTAATGTAAAATATGATCCATAGTGGAGCGTCTGGCCCTAAATCCCGCTTGTTCTTCGGGTTGTTTGACTTTAATATCATTTTCTATTAGGATTCGTAGTACTTTTGAGTATAGTCGGCCTATAGTAGCAATCACTGCGATCCCTCTATAGTTTTTAGGATCCGTCTTTGTGCCTTTCTTGTGTATTGGAGAGATATACGATTGTCTCCATTCTTCTGGAACTTCTTCTCCGTTTAAACATCTTTCGAATAATGTTCGGATCATTTCAAACAGTTTTGATGATCCATACCTAATTAACTCTGGATCTACCCATGTGTTTTGTGGTATTCTATTTATTATAACTTGGTTTTTTGTCACTATACACATCTTTTTTTTATTCTCCAGGCTTCAGAGCTCTTTGTCCCTCCTATATGGTTGTCTAGGTATTGACATTTTTGTTTCCATGCACTATGATTCTGTTTAACCACTTCTCGTTTGACTTCTTTATTTAAGTTTTTATATTGTTGTTTTGTTTGTTCGTCTTCCTGTTGTAATAACTTTTGATATACTTTCTTATTTCTTTTCTTCCACTTCTTCCACTTCCTTACCCCACCAATATGGTTTATCTACTCTCCGTACCTGTAGCCCTAAGGCTTCTAGCGCTGCGTCTTTCATGCAGTTTTCTATATGTTCGTATTCATCCGTCGTTGATTTGTGTGATTTCTGTAGTTTTTGTGTTAGTCTCCAGGAGTTAAGTAACTGTATGCTCTCGTTATCTATGTAGATTGTCTAAGGTGAACGTAGTTCTTTCTATTTTCTCCGTGTTCTTTTTTGATATCTGTGTGGTTCCTGTCTACGAATGGTATATATATTTTTGTGGTTTTGTTATGAAATAATCTATTATCGATTTTAGACCTCTTGTGTGCTGATACCAGATGTATTTATGTATGTTCTTATGGGTGAAAAACCATTCAAAATCTTTAACTCATATTGTTGACATTTATTTATGAGTCTTTCTCCGTTGTTGTTAACAGTTTCTTCTCCATGCATAAGTAGCACTTTACTTTGTACTTGTTTTCCTACTTTGACATTAAGGCCTTCTCCCCATATAATCTCATGGCTGTTAGGAATTTCGTTCCTATACGAAATTGTGTATTGCGGTTGGCAATTATATAGATAATTGCCAACCACAAATTAAACATCTTTAGGATGCAGTTATGAAAATACAGTTATACCTACTTATTAGTTTAAGTTTTCTAATAAATTTTGTAAGGTACGTAAACAATATTTAAAAATGAAAAAAGACTTGTTATTTGATGGAGGTGGATAAATCATATGCTTAACATGGGAGTAAAATGCCTTTTCCTCGCTTGTATGATTAATTATTATTTGACTGGGAATAAGCCACAATTAAAGATAAAAATACGTTTATTGACGTTTCAATTTCCATGTTTAAAAATTTACTGTTTGTATTTTGAGAACGATTTCCGAAGTGGAAATTGAAACGTCAATAAACGTATTTTTATCTTCAATTGTGGCTTATTTCCAGTTAAATAGTAATTAATTTAAAATGCCACAAGAAAAGAGCTTCAGAACAATATTGAATGATTACTGCAGTAACACGTTGCTCCATTGTTATACAAATAGCTATTAAATGTGCATTCATGGAAAACATACATAAACATCAAGAAATTTGTCTTCCATTAGAAATAAATTGGTAGGTCTAATAAAACAGAGTCAATTAGTATGTCGTTTCATAACAGAAAATCAAACGACTAATTGGAAAACAGTTGTTGCAATCCACGCCGAAAACAGAAATATGACAAAATAATGTTCGTAATTAAATTACCCGTACATTTATTCGAAATAAATTTTTCAAATCATTCTAAACAGTGCATATGAAATTCGTACAAAAATATTATGGCATATATCACTCCAATGCCAAATTTTACGATGTTGGTGTCAGAATTTATGTACTACATCGTCGATAATATATTTCAAAACATGTATAGCTATAAAATATTAAAATGTTAGTATTTTAAGGGTCGTTATTGAGATGGCTTAATTTGATATTGTTCTGAAGTTTTTTGCTGTGGCATTTTAAAGTAATTACTATTTAAATGGGAATAAGCTACAATTAAAGGTCAAAGTTAGTTT